ATTTATTGCAGCTGATTTGAACTTTTTAGGCCATTCATTCGTCACCCCTTTGTCTGTTTGCATGCCAGCCCCTGTTTGAATTTCTTGTTTTTTCCTCAGTACTTTTTCTTCCGTCACTCCCTCTCACAGCCTCCTCTCCTGTCGCCACTTCATCTTCCCTGTCCTCTTCTGGAGGTAGCACTCCCTCTGCACTCCCTTCCTCCTTTCCCCATTCCTCTTCTCCCTCCTCCACGAAGCCCCATAACGCGGAGGCTCGGGAGGCCGAAGTGAGACTATTGCCTCCCCTGCTGAAGGACCAGGCCTGGGGGGTTCACGCGCAGGAGGCCTTCCTTCTCTTCTGCCTCGCCCTGGGTGAGTGGTGCATGTGACGTAGGCTGAGCTCACACCCCAGAATCTAAATCCTTCAGAAATTTCTTCCTTTCGCTTTTTAACCCATCACTCTCGCACATTCACTCTCCTCTCCTGCATCTCGCATGTTGGCAAACATCAGCTAACTGGGAGTGAGTGCGAGCATGTCAGAGTTCCTGTTTGTGTGTAACAAGTGATCCTCCCTGCTTTTTTTTTTCTGTGTTTGTGGGAACGATTGTCCTCCATTTTTAAGAGTATTGCATTAAAAAAAACAAAGCAAACGTGAATGTTTAAAAAGATTAAGCTGGGATTCATTAAGCTGGAAAACTCAGTGATCGGGTCCAGTGACCACACTCTGACGGACAGACAGATCCTCCTTATCCAGGATATTAAGAATCTTTCCTCAAAACAAAGTTTAGTGGGTTCACTTTTCTTTATCCAGATCATTTTTGTGCCTGTAAACAAATGTAAATATATTTGTATATATGGGGAAAAAATACAATTTGACAATGTACATAAAACTAGGTGACGTAATGGGGCTGTGGTTCTTGGTAGGGAGGCAAAATAAAAATGTAAAACGTTTGCAACCCTTGTTTGTTTTTCTTTATTTATTTTTTTTAAACTATCATCATCCGTTGTATTTTCAAAAGATGAGGGCTCCATAGAGAGGACAGATACATACTAATTAGAAAATGTTTGCCTATCAGACCTGAGATCAGGCAGCATGCATGCTCACTGATTGATGACCACAGGTGGACCAACCAAAGGCAAGTATTTCATGCATGTCTCAGTGGTGCCTTAAACATCAGAGGTCAACATCAATTCTGTCCCACAGGTCCCAGTGATGTCCACATTCACTGGCTAGTAAACGGACACAGTCTGGACACCCCCATAAAGGAGTACCGCCGGCCGCTTGGTCAGAGGGAGGTTTTAGTGAGCAGCTGGCTCCAAGAGGGGCCGCTGATCAAGGACGCACGTTATAACTGTGTTGCTGAGGCCAGCACAGGAAATGACGTGTCTGAAGTTGACCTCCGGCTCTCTATTGGAGGTATCAGGTGGAAAATATTGACTATAGTCCTGCATGCAGAATGGAATTGGGAGTGTTCTGGACTGGCTGTTTCCATTGGCAGAGATGGATAATTGCACTGGTTTATTTCCATAAAGCGTGTTGTTGTTCGACAGATGAAGAGAACATTCCAACCCGAGATTTGAGCCAGTGGAGAGGTGCGCTCGCAGAGCACGAGCAACTGCTAAAGAGATGGGAAAAGGCCTGGGTAGGTCTGAGTGTGCTGTCTTCTCCGGTCAGTCGCCTGGATTGTGTTTGCGTCACGTGCGTCGGTTTTAACCTGATCTGCATGTTCAGCTTTAGGCTGCCAGGCTGTTTTCGTCAAGAGTACTGGAGAAGTGCAAAGTCCAGGTTTTTATAGCAGCAATAACACGAAACGAGGGATGCGAAGAAAGAGCTAGTTCAAACGAAATGAGGGTCTGATTTAAGGGCTTTGAAGCTTTGAAGTGCACTTGTTTAAATACACCAATCATTAACCTTGACTACAGCTTTAAATGCCTTTAACGTCATGTATCTAACGGTGTTGTACGAATCGCATGTTCTTTTAACCATACTTTGTAAATTGCATGAGTAACTAAAAGCTTATGTTCCTTTTAGAGAAGCTGCTAATGAGATTCCTCTTTCAATACAGGCACGTGTGAGTCTTGTGACATTTAACTAAATTTCCTAAATTTCTTGATGTTGCTGAATTCACTGGACATTTTTGACTAATATCTAACTAATATCAGTCTGTCTTCCTAGAGAGAAAACAATACCTGTAGGTCATGAATGGGTTAACTTAAGTATCGCCAGATACTTAAGCTGATTAAAAGCAGTGCATTGGTTATTACAGAATTTTAAAGTCAATGACTCAGTACTTTTCTCGTGGCTTTAAAATGGGGGAAATAATTATTTGATCTCCTGCTTAATTTGTAAGTTTGCTCATTTACAAATAAATGAAAGTGTCATATTTTTATGGCAGTTTAATTTTAATGGAGGCAAGTAATAAGTCATGATTTGCTTGGGGATCAAATACTTCTTTTACATTATATATGTGTCTTTTCTGGGTTTTTGGTTAATAGTCTGCCTCCATTAAAATTATACTACTATAAAACTTAGACTGTTACCTTCGTTGGACGTGAGCAGGGGATCAAACAATTATTTCCCCATCTGCATGTGCAGTTGTTGAAATGCATCAGTACTACTCCCAGCATTTCTCTTGTGTAATTAAATCGCACTGCTTGCGTAGTACAGCTGTGTTTTTCCCCCTTTAGGAAAGCTGTGATGACCACAGAGCTCTGTGAAGAGTTGACTTGGCTGAATCTGGTTGCGAACATGGTCCTCCATCCAGGTGGACCACACCTTTGACACTGAAACTGTCAAAAAAACAACAATGCCACTTCTTAGATAGGAGTTTGGGGGACCATGAAGCAACACATTTACAATCTGCCTCCTGCAGGGGTGAGGGCAGTTGGGGGGGTTGGGGTCACCTATATGCAGTGATAATGTGGGAGTCTCCAACCAAACTCTGCAAGGAGATGAAGCTCATCAATCTGAGAACACGTGGGCTGCCTTTGTACCAAAAATACATTTCTGTCAAACGTCCTGAGAGCTGTGCTTGTAAGGAATGTTTCGCATTTTTAAAGCGATGGAACATGTCAAATGTTTGTGAGATTCATTTTAAGATGTTTGCACCTTCGCTGGCTTCAGAAGCTTCTGTCAAGTCCATCATAGCTACTTGGAATTTGTATAATCTTGAGTGAAAATGTCTTTAATCATCGAGCCCAAAACCCAATTCGTAGGATTTGATGGCAGGAATCGGGCCTGTAGCTCTCTTTTAACAACATGCCATCAAAATGCAAAATTTATCTTAAAAGAAATGCAGTTCAGCCCAAGTATGGAAACTTTTGTCACACTCACTGCTTTTCATCTGTTATTTTCTTCACATTAAAACTGTGACTACATATTTGACGCTGTAGCAGAAATAAACGGTTTAAATGCTGTCGCTTACGTCACGATGCCTTCAAGTTTAACACATTCTAGTGTTTTAATTACATGTGAGCAGATGATGGTAAATATAATCAAGAATTTTCTTTGAAAATCATGTATAGTTAATGCCTTTACTGAAATCTAATTAAAAAAAAAAAGTTTTACCGGTAAGCTGATTTTGACACTTGTGCCTCAGATTTGTAGACTTACAGCAGTTTATCTTAAATTGTTTTTAATTTGGTTCTCCGTTAAGTTTCTTTTAATGTATGAGAGGAAGCCACATTTCTGTATTTCAGCACAACACTGGTTTCATGGTGGTGTTTAGTGGAGCCACACCACCCTCTTGTGACCACTTATAGGAACATAACCCCAAAACAGGAGGTGGTTAGCAGGTTGTTTATTACTGTAAAGGTCAGAGCATGACAATTAAACAAATGTAACTGAACACACAGAGAGACTGACACCAGATTTGACCATCTCTAATTTATAAATTCGGTTTGAAGTCGCAAAGAAGATTTCTTCCTCCTTTCTCCGCAAAAAAAAAAAAAGGCAAACAAATCAGAGGGATTACATCAAAAAGCTGAGAAATTCACATGCTGCAGTGAGCAGCCAGACAATATACACTTAATAATCTTAAATAAAAGATCACAGGAGGACTCTTCCAGTAGTGCGAGGCTGGGGTCTTGTGTCATTGCTTCGGAGGTAGAGGTCTTCTGAACAGAAGGATGTGTGGCTCTGGGAGAACAATAGCAGACAAATATACAAACAGGTTAGTGACCTGAGGCCTGATCATTGTGTGTTTTAAAGGCCTATTACCAGAATGATGTGCTACACTGTAGTTACAGCCAAAGTCCTACGACTCTGCAGCCATTCTGGTGATGCATCTCGGCATCTGGGCCTGCATTTAAATGAACTGGGAGAAAACCATTACTTTTGCTTTACTAGTCATCCAGACATAACAGTGCACGAATAGCATCAACAATCAACTCCAACTTACAAGAGCTTTTAAGAACATAATGGATTTGCAGCCAAGTCCAGGTTGCCAACATTTCAGCAGCTCAAAAGCAAGCCAATAACATATTACATGCAGATTACCTGGTTCATGTATCATATAGTGGATCCATCCCTGGGACTGTTGCACTCCCAGCTGTCTCCACTCGTCTTCAGACATCAGGTGGGATTTTGGGATATATTTAGTCATCTCCCGAGGCAGAACAACATGTCTAGCGATGAGAACAAACGATTGTTAATAGTGGAGTGTAAATATCTTGTAAGGTTTGATGCAACTATCCTGTTGGACGACACCAGTTATCTGAGATATGATTTAAACTACAACCATGCAAAGTGTCAACTGGATCTTGCAGTTGTGATGTTATGTTGATAAAAACTGTCCAGAGACAGATATGTAGACAACATACTCAAAGTCTCTTAGGGAGTTCCTGCTATACAGGAGTCTCCAGGAAAAAATGTTTCATCACGACTTAAAAAGTAAAATGCAGCCGAAAGTCATATGTGAATTGTCTACAGAAAAAAAAACACATACAGATCGATACACAGGTGCCAAATTAAAGGAAACCGCTATATTTAAGCCATTGAGTGGCTTGCTATGCTGTGCAGAGGATCTTGCAGGCGTGCCTTGAGTCCATGTATTCCTTTGCAGGGACAGGTCAAGCAGTGCAAATCAATACAAAGTTGGCCTGAGGGGTCTTAAACGTATCTACTGTGATGGGGGTGGCAAAGATATTAACTTGCTTTCAAAAATCTTAATATAAAAAATGGTCACATTTGCCAACATACCAAGATGACAAAGCTCTGCTCATTTAAACCTCAGATGTTTCAGTGACTATAATCCGACTGACTTCTTGTATTTGTATTGTTATACCCATTATGAACTTCCAAAATCTTCCCCCTTGACAAATACATTTCATAAAAAAAAATAATTTAAAAGCCTAAAACTAGCAATGAAATTGATTAAAAACTAAAAAACTTTAAACCCCCCCCCCCCCCCAAAAAAAAGAAGAAACGAGAAAATTCATACTGGAAATTAACTGAAGCAATACTGAAAATGTGAACTAACTCAGGGTGGTCGCTTCCTTTCAAGGAGCACTGGAGCTGTTCTGGCGACACCTGGCGGTCAGACTTTCACTTTACAGCCAGTAAAAGTTTGTCACCGTAATGGTGGTGTTCCCATTGAACGGCAACATTCAATGGGATTATTATTCTACTATTACACCTCCACTTATATATATCTTTAGTTGACGTTACTAAAGTTGAACATGCGAACCAATAATGCTCACCTGTACTCGTAGTGGTCGTCATTGTACCTGTTGGAATAGTAGATCTGGTTCCGAGACATATTTACAGAAAAAAAAAATCAGGTTAATTATTAGAAAAGTTTTACGAGAAACTGGGGTTGTAGAATAACAACAAGTGCCCACCTGTAGCTCATTCCGTGCAGATTGCTCAAAGGTATTGATTGGACGACTTCTGTCATGTGACCAGAATTTCCCTCTTTATCGTAGTTCTCGAGCCGTCATCAAAGGACAGGTGAGTGTCTTAAGTTGTTTTCAGCCCTCTTTTGCAGTAGTTGTTCATCTTCACACAAAATAGAAACACAATATATCTCACATGTTTAAATATGCATCACAACACTAAAATACACTACTGTGTTATTCCTGATGAGGATGGTTAAAATAAAATACTGTGTACTACTAGTTTCCTTAAAGCCTTATGAATTATCATCAGATAAAATTTTTATTTTCATTTCATCATAAGCAAGTGTGGCCAAATTTATACAAGATGACGTTTTGGCAGTTTGCTAGTGTGGAGTTTTCACTCTACAGGCCTCAGTTAGCATGTTAAATTCATCCAGTCACTTCTGCTTATCCTTATCAGGGTCACAGGTGGCTGGAGCATATCCCAGCTATCATAGGGCGGGTGGGGTACACCCTGGATGGGTCGCCAGTCTGTTGCAGGGCTAACATAATCTACAGCAGAATGGCTCAAAAACAAAGGAATCAACATATTGCAATAGCCCAAAGCCCAGACCTCAGCCTGGTTGAAATGTTGTGGGAGGAGCTTTAGAGAGCTGTGCATAGGCAAATAACCAAAAACCTTGATGATGAGAAGCAATGCTGTAAAGAAGTGTTGCGTGTTCTTTTTATCTAAGGTAAAAGAGGGTTTCAGTCCCAGTCCAAGTTTTCTCTCATTTATTGCCTCAAGCAGTTCAAAAAAAATTCATGCATATGGATCTCTTTCCCGTTAGAAAACCACAGTCTGCAACAGTTTGCTGTGGCCAGCTTCTGGAAGAGAGATGACCCCACTCTTGTCTCTCTCTCTCTCTCTCTCTCTCTCTCTCTCTCTCTC